CACTGAGCAAAAGATTCCTTTACTGAGTCTGTATTGACAAGGCCTCTGCATATAGAAGAGTACAGAATGGCTGGAAAAATGTTGGACTGGAAACCAGGAACTTCAGTGATCATTCTTAGCGATCAATTATTCGGTCTTAGGTTATATGAAAGACAACAAAAGGTCAGGATGAAAACACAGAATGAGGCAAAAATGGTAGACAAAGGGAAGGGGAAAAAAAGACCTTTGTCCAGTGAAATTAACATACTTTATCTATAAAGATTTCATTAAGTATCTTTAAATAATGCCATCCATAGAAAGAGTTAAGAAACAAAAACTGTAAGATAAAGTCCAGGAAAACTACCTTGTTTTTTCTCTGCTCACATGCAATTTTCATCAGATTAAAAAAAAAAAAGGGGGGGAATAAACAATGATGTATGATAATTGTCATAGTAAATTATTAAACTTGCAATATTGTTATCAGCAGTTTTTTATAGTACTTCTTAGCTTGATAAATTAAATTAAAAAATGAAAATAGCCTAAATAGTTATTTGATGAGACCCTGCAAATGTTAATTTATTCCTGGAATATATAATTACATGGAGATAAAAATAACATGAAATACAGTATGTTTCAAATCAGTTGCTCTGAGTTGTACCTAAAAGATTCAAACAAAAGAGATCTGCTGTCTCCTCCCAGGCTGCACAATACCATATGCTTCATTTTTTATGCTGTAATTTGAATCAAGAATCAAACATAAATGAGTAAGACACATATAATTGTCACATGGGCTGTGGGTTTTGTTGTTATTCTTGAGTTACTTTAAAAATAAATTTGAGAGGTTTCTAGCATCTGTTTAAAACATGACAATCTATTACAAAATCTAAACTAGCACATTAAAACTGAAAAAGTAAGACACTTGTGTGCATCTCTAGATCCAAGAGTGTCATGCAGTGAGGAGATGAGGGAATCTTAGTCTGTGAATATTCAGTCTGGATATTTAGGCACATAGCACATAAATCATTGGCATCAAGGCTCTGAAACTGAAGTTAGCTGTCTAAATCAGAGGACCCAAGTTTTTGCTCATTATTTTACGCATTTAGCACCTGGCATTTCTGTTCCTCCCCAGTTATAAAATTTTCCAATGGTAATATCCTGAACAACTGTTAATGATTCTGGATATTGCATTCCATATGACAGCCTAAGTCTGTGACAGAAACCCTACAACATAACATTGCACACATTAGCATTATTTAGACAGATTACACTTCCTAGAGTCACAGCTACATCCAGAAAAATAAGAGACTAGAGTCTTATTTTTGTCTTATTTTTTGCTTTATTTGTTTTAAGTATAGGTAGCCCTCACCAAACCATGACTCCTAATATATTCTTATTTTACTATACCGCTTAGTACACCTAGCTAGTACTACATAAATGCAATGGTTTAAGAAAAAGATGCTTATAATTTAGCCACTACCCCCCTGCAGAGTAGAATTCCCCAGTTTAAAGTGGCAGATGAATGCTCAACTAAAGTTGACACTGACCTTAACAAAGTATTAAGCCATGCAGTGTAATTAAGAAAACTGGACATAGATTGTCTCTTTCAAAACATTAAATATCTATCCTCTATTCCTTACTATATAATCATTAAAAATTCTTAAAAACAAAATAATTTTCACTACTATGGATATCACATCATATAATCCTTTTAGTAAACCTAAATCATATCCTTCTTACTGTGATTAAAAAGCTCCTAAAGAATTCCACCAATGCGTAATTTGTTTTTAAATTTCTACTTTATACTTATTATATGGACTGAGTATAAGTGTGTGTTTGTGGGTAGCAACATGTTCCTTTATTTTAAACAGCTAACTCCTCTTCTTCACACCCTGCCCACACATCCTCCAGGTCTTAACACTAGGTATCAAGCAAATTTAAGCATTTTAAATTTTACCTCCCCTTTCCCAATCATTGTTCCCAAATCATGCTCCAATTCCAGTGGTGCAAGACCTAACTTACCCCAGCTGGAATTCAATTTCTTGGACATGACTAACCAAAATGGAACAGATAAAGTTTCTTTGCAATGGCATCAAAATCTTCCTGTTTCACTGGAAATATCTGATCTACTCTATCTGAGGACCAGGACCTAACCTGATTTTTTTTAACAACTATATTGGCAGCTCATAGTCATCCTATGATTTGTGAGGATTCCAAGGTACTGGAATCTTCAATTCTTCTAACAATAAAGTCAAAGTTTCTAGTTTGGGTTATAGGTCTCAAAGCACCTAATCATTCTGTATCCTTGAATTTCATCCCAGTCTTTAATACTTTAGCCATCCAGCTCTTCCCTACTGTGTCCTCAGCACATTCCTAATGCATCAAAATTCCATTCTAGCCTGCATGAAAATACAGCATTAAGTCTGTAGGATAAGACCAATCAATGTCAATTACTCTCAGACCATCTCTTCTCCAGCAAGAAGGCTGCTGCTAAACCAGAGGACACCAGCAGCAGACACCTTCCCTGCTGCTCAGCCTGAGCACTTCACAAAGCAAACCACAAAGGACATTACACACTCTGGGAAAATCCTGTGAGTCACCATCAGCAATTACCTTGACTCTGCAGAAATCTCCCCAATACTGCAATATCTGTGGCCACCTCTTTTCTCCATAGATGCCAGCACATTTTACAGTTCTGACATAAACCCATGTCTTTAAAAAATCTTGTGTACTATAGCTCTTCTTTAGTAAAAACAAACCAAACCTTTAATATTAAGTTAATCAGACCTGGTAATAAAAACCATATACATTGGGGTAATGCAATGAAAATGAACCTGAACTGTATTCCTTGTATGAAGCATTATGGAAGCATTCTGAAGCAAACAGTTAAGAAATTAAGAATATGGAGAAAGATGAACACACAGGAATGCAACAGGAATATGGTGTCTCATTGACCAGTCAGGTGTTCAGTAATTTTTTGATGTAACACAGACTAGTCTAAATAAGACAAATAGGTATTAGTAACTTCTACAAATATGTAGTAGAAAATTCTATTGACTGTCTATTTAGCCACCTAGACAAATTACCTATTACTTTTCATCTCTCATTTTTAACAACTTTACTACTCAAGTAAGTCTATCTTTTAAAGTCAAATATTTTTCTAAAAATACCACAAAAATGGTTGGCTAAATGAAACAGAAAAAAGAAGGAAAACAAAGAATAATATATTCTACTACTCACTTTAGAACCCATTATTTCAACTCCAGTAGAGCTTCAAGTGGTTGAACCTGGACAGGACTAGAAATTAGTCAGCGCAGTATATAACCAAATTATTATGTATTTGGGGTGTTCAGACAAAATAGAATGATTTTATTTTTACAAGAGCCCTGGCAGCAACATTTACATTTTACTTGGTGGTTAAAGAAAAATCCTGAGGAACTCCTGAAAATATTTCAGCCAGTAAATAAACTCTATATTTTTATCAGCCATGAAAGCGTTATTTCTGGGAAATTGTTCTTGTACCTAAACCCTCTTTCCTATTTTATTCCTTAGTGTACTCTCATAAATATCATTGCAGTGCTGCTGCCATAACTATCTTGCATATGCAGATCATTAAAAAAAAAAAAAAAAGACCAACAAACCTTTTACAACCATTACTTGAGCCAGTATAGCTATACATCATGTAACCAGGAACACTTTTTTTCTTGACCAGGATTGGTATGGAACGCACTCCTACATAAGGAAAACCTTTGTGGGTTGTTTAAGAGTCCATGTGAGAAGTATGGAAATTTGAACAGATTCATGTAAAATCACAGCAAGGTAATGCAGAAGGAAATGTGAAAAAACATAAACAATGACCACCTCTGGATTTAATTAGTTTGTGTGCAGCTCACACCCACATCAATGTGCACAAGGAAGATGCTTGCTGTATATTCTCATGTTTGCTGTTTACTGATGGCATCCTTCTGTATCCTTGGACGAAGAAAAATGGCGATGAAAACAAAAGAAGAGCACTGCAAAAATTAAGTAAAATGATCCACTACAACAAGGAAAATTTTTTTTAATCTATTTTCTGAGAAGATGTTAATGATTGTTCTTGACTGCAAACCCACTATGTTGCAAAAGACTTTTGAAATGCTTCATCTGATAGGGGGAGAGAGACTGACACAATCAAGTGGCATATCACTTTTGAAAAAAATGTTCAGATATTTTGAAAGGAAATGATGCACCAAAATGTAGCAAGGGCATGTGAGCATTACAGTGCTTTGCTTCAGGCCTAGTACGTAAAAGTCCATTAATCCTATTTTCTTTCTTTACCATTAAAAAAAAAAATCCACTAAAAAAAAAAATAGATTTTTTTTTTGCCCGATTTAATTCTGGATAGACACTATGGAAGGTGTACGGGGCTTACCTATACAAAGCCCTATGCTCACAACAATGTTGCTTTGGGTATTCCAAATATGCATTTTTTGAGATATGAGGCTCAGAGCATCTGAAGCAAAATTAAAATGCTGCCGGTTTTCGTACCAATCAGAACATTTTTCATCTTCACTCCACCTCTGAAGTCACAATGCTACATAGGAAGTAAATTTCACTTCCAAAGAGTGGAGAAAAATGGGAGATGATCCCACCACCTATTTGAAAACAGAAAATGCAACAAACAAGAGCTGCTCTTAAAAAAAAGAAAATTAAAAATGCATTTAAGTACAGTTTAAACTATTTTGTTCTAGGCTTGGCTTATGTTTTTAAAGGTTTGAAGCATTGACTGATTACTGGAGCTGGACTGGATGACTGTTCAGAGAGGATATGCTGCTAACTTTGCCTCCCTTCTTTCCCATGTTCAGGACAGTCACGGCCTACGCTGTTGATTTCGCAGCCTGCCCGGGCACCTCAGGTAACCTTCACTCCCTGCAGCCACTGTCCACACCTGCTCGCAGTTCACAGAGCGGAGGGTGAGCAGCCACCGTCACTCACCCCTCCGTGACTGCCCCCGGCTCTGCCTCCGCACCCCTACGGCTGCAGGGACTCCTCCCTCGACAGCAAACGCGTGGGAGCAATACGAGTGCGTGCAGCAAGGGCAGCCCCCGCCCAAATGCGTCTCACCCTGCCATTTTATCATTTTCACACGGTGAATAATCACGCGTGGCGAGGACCACTGCTGAGTAGGTTTGCCACTGCATCACCACGGCCCCAGCGCCACCCACCTGTGTTCGCACTGCCCGAACACACTGTGACACCGGCCGTGAGCCGAACACTGACCAGACACACCCCAGCGGTGCTGGGCGGGGGGTAAGGGCCTCCCCCTTCCTCGCTGCTCCGGGCAGGACGGGAGAGGAGAGAGAGAGCCGGGCGCTGCGGGCGGGCAGGGGCAGAGC